TACTTGCATCTACATTCATCTTTTTCAGTAGCCACAAAATGAACAATGAACAACAATCTTAGGTTTTGTTCTTATTACTGAAGTCATATAGATGAAGATGAATCCTGTTTTGTATTTTTTTTTTTAGAGGTACAACTACCTGTACAGCAGTATGGAAACTGAGGAGCCTGCAACTTTAGTTCACACTGTGAAATGCATGGAATTTTGTTGTAATAATTTAAAGTTAAGGTATTCACACAGTTAAAATTTAGTTTATTTATCTATCCTTCAAACCGCTTCCCCCCCCCCCCAATTTATAATTTCATTCTGGTGCCTTGTGTGTTTTATTGCTTGCATTCAATTATTCCACTGCTGTTCCCAGTTGTTTCCTATCGTTAACATTATGACTGTCTGTCTTGCGTCATTGTGCACCCCCCTTCACATTATCTCTTCAAGGTTTGAAGTTTCTTGTGCTTGCTTCATCTCAGACAACATCAGAACTATGAATCCTACTGTAAAAATTTTTAAAGTAAAAATTTTACTTTTTTTAATAAACTCCTTGAGTATTAATCAACAGCTTCAGAGGATTAACTAGTCCTCTGGATGTAAGTGTGTGCAAGTACTAGAAGCCTGTTAGTTCAAAGATACCTTAAATGAAAAATAAATTGTAAAAGGAGACCATATCCATAAGTAAAACCAAGATGGGGGGAAGGGAGCAGAGTTAGAGTTGAGCTTTCAACCTTAATTCTGTATTTCAAGAGTTCTGAATGCTTCGTTTGTTAGCATTAGTGCTGCACTAACTTAAAGTATTTTTCCATGAGTGTGTGTGTGTTTAACCAACTAAGCATGAAATCCCTTGCTTCTGTTTGTCCCTATTAAATAGTGGCAACAAAAGAAACAGACAGGAGATGGGTCCAGAACAAAGCAGAAATAATGGAGTATTTCACCCCAAAAAGGAGAGTGAAACGAGAAGTACAATGAGTAGGCAGAAACAGACTCAACAGCTGGAGGCAGTTTAATGTGTTGTAGAGAGTACTAATTCTGTTGCCCAGATCTTCAGTCTGTGATCTCTGAGTAGCACATATATCAGAAGTGTTTGGCCATCCCTGCCATATGCTTTTCCCAGAAGATATCTCCATAGGGCTTTAAAAGGACACTGTCTAGGGTTGTCAGCATAAATACTGGTGTGTCTAAAACCCAGAATCATCTTGTTGGGTTGGAAATCTGTGAGGAGGAGTAGAACTGGCTAGCTTCTTCCCTGAACTCTTAAAAAATGATTATACATGCACATGCACCATTAGTGCACACTGAAGAGTAAAATGAAAGTAACAGTGCTACTGAATATTGCAATGATTTCTGCAGACTGCAGCACAAGTAATAACTCCCAGTTTCCTGGATTAATCCATCCTTTTTTTTCAGAAACTGATTAAATGCATACATTTTTTAAAGGTACCTTATTGTTTTATTTTCAGTACTTAAAAATATGTTTCTTCATTAAAAAATTAATTCCTGACTCTCCCTGCCTGCCTCTGTTTTCATGTCTATTTCCCCATCCAGTGGCTATAGCTTTAAGTGTGATATTCTCAAAAATTAGGAAAGCTGACAATTTGACATGTCATTTCCGTTATACTAAGTAACGTCTTACCCTGATAAGACGAGAAGGCTCAAAAAAATGTTCCGTTTTTGTTTCTAGCAGTGGGGTCTGAATACATGACCATGTCCTAAGCAACCTTTCAGTGACTCTGCCAACTAGCTCTGCTTGACCCTGTATTTGCAGTAGTCCAATGTTTTCTTTTCTGTCTGCTCCAACACTTCCTCTGAGAGGCACTGTTTGGGTTTAGAGTTTGTTTTGTAATACCTAAAAGGCATGATTTTATTGCCCATTGAGCAAATCAAGTTTGGGAACCAATGGAGGAGACTTCCAGGTCTATATCTGGCAAGTTAATTTGAGCTTCTTTTATGCCTTTTGGGTTGACTAAATGGAGTGGAAAGTATGCTGGTTTGGGAAAGAACTGACCACTAGTTGTGAATTAAGCAACTCTCTCAATGTTTTTGATGTATTCGTGTTTTGGAATTCTGGAATGACTTCTTCAGTTACTGGTACACTTTTCTTGCAGTTTTGTGGTTTTCAGAGTGCATTGTAATATGTGATGACATCTTAAATAATGTGTAGCTGTAGTCCATGGTTATAAAATATTTCAGTATGCATTTCCTGTCTATAATGAAAGGCAGAATATAAGTTGCAATTTTATTTGTGTGGTCTGTGACTTCTGAATTTTTTACTCCCCACAGATACTGTGTAGCTACTAGATGCAGCTGTCACAGTTGTGATAATAAAGGTTTCATCTCTATAATGGATGCTTAAATGGCCCTAACTTTGTTAGGGAGCAGGTAACTTCAGGCTGCTGAGAGAACAGGAAGAGAGAGATCAGACTGTTTGTATGGTGATATTTCCAATGGGAAAGATGTTCATTGAGCTTGAGTAAGGAGGGTTGCGAAACAAGTTTATAAAGTCTAAATCTGTTTTTACAAGCATCCTCTACAAGAATTTCTCATCTCAGCTGCTGCTAAGTGCTATACATAACAGCTTAAGTTTCAGCAGCTTTTTGAAGCTAGAATATTAAAAAAATGTTTTCATTATAACTAAATCAAGTTACTGAAGGAAATTAGCCTAGCAGAAGGACAAAGTCATGAATGTAGCAAAGATAAGGGAATCATACCAAATAAAATACAAGAGTGGTCCGAGGGGAGTAATGTTTCTGTCTTCTAGGGGTCTGTCTGAAATTTTCATGCCTAACTGTGCTTAGTAGTAAAGGATAAGTGAGAGGGTGATGAGTCTACGTATGCTACTTTGGAGATGCAATCTGACCTGGATTTTTGATCATTTGTTTCATCCACAGCATATAAAGATTCTCCAGTCTAAGTTGGACTTAAGGAGTTGGCAGTAGAGAGATGCTGAATTTCACAAACCTGCCTGTCACCCACAGAGCCTCCATATACGTTTTACAATGAGCAGAAATTATCTTTCACAGAACTATTTGTTATTAGATGTTGTCAGGGCTTGAGTGTCATGTTTGGTGGCATAAGTGGCTGGCCAGAGAAGCACAGAATTCCATCAGCTCTTCTATTCCTTTATGTTTCTCAATGTCACATCAAGAGGTTGTTGCAAAGATGCCATGATGACAGGGACAAATGGAATCCTTTTAAAGACTGGCTATAGAGGGTCTGACACAGCCTCAGGAGCTCTGGCAAACTGAAGGATTTTATGTGGCCTTCAGCTTGATATCCATTAAGTGGAAGCTCTATTTAAAGGAATTAATCTTTTTCAATGAACTCAGTTGGCCTTTCTCACTTAAGTACCACAGTAGAATGTTTGCTGTGGCTTTGTAGAACCTGTGAGATGAGTATAAACTAGTAAATGAATAAAAAAATCAGTAATTAAAGCTAATAGGCAAATTTATTCCTTTGAGTTATGGACACAAACAAGAGGAAACCTTCTTAAAAAAACAGATTTGATTTTTGAATCAAATCTTCATACAGGCAAAGCTATTATTTTTGAAATCTGCTGCTTTTATTAAGCTTAAATATTATTGTACAAATTCTTACTTCTTATAAAGTGTTGCCTTTCACTCTTTTAAAAGATGCTGAAGTAGTTTTGTAGGTTTCCTGAATGTGTCTTTTGCTTCTTCAAAGCAATGAAAACTGTTTTGGCAGCATGTGTAATAGCTTACCATCTATACTGAAAGAATCCAATTAAAGTTCTGTGTTGAGTGAGCTGTCGTTTTATAATCACATTCTCACTGGACGACTTGCTCACAGGGTCAGACCCCACTGTTTGCATTAGAGTCTTACTGACATCACTTCAGTTGCTCTGCTCCTCCAGTAGCCCTCAGTGAGAAAACCTGGGCAGTTGTCAAGACAAAGTAGGTTAAGGTTGTAAGGACTGGATTTCTTTTCCTGCAATCGGTGCGGTGCAGACTTGTGGTTAAGATGGAAATAAAGAGCTGGGGTTATGTAAAACCAGAATGTGTGAGAAAGGGCTGATTGCACAGACATGTTTTCCCTTCCCTATTAGAGCAGATGTCTTCCTTTGGTATAAAGGTGGTAGATACTGGGGAAAAAGTTATTTATGTCTATGTATATTGGGGTGGCGGAAGTCTACCTTGGAAATTAGTGGGTAATTATGCTTTATACATAAAATATAAATTTCCTAGATTTCCTGGAATTGTATGCTTTTAGATTTTTACATAAAAAGTTTCTAAATTGCATATAGACAAAGAACTGAAGAACTTAATGAGGGCCTAAGGCACCTTTTGGAAACTTGGCCTACTTTGTCAAAGCTGTTTAAGAGAAGTAGGCAGAAATCTGAAGTAGGCTTTGTGTAAGAGATTTTTATTTGTTTACATTATGATTAATTTATACTTCTCCAGGGAAAGTGAGATATCTATCTGGTTTTTTACTAGATCTTTGTCCAGAAAGATTTATTTGTTTATTTATTTATTTATTTACAAGCTGTTGTTCTGGGCTGAAATGCGTGACAAAGCAAGCCTGGAAAGGATATTAGTGGAGCAAAGGTCTCTGATTCTTTTCTTTGACTACAGGTAGAGCCTGGTCAGTAGCTGCTCAGGATTGGCTCTGATATTCACACCAGATATTGCATGAAATTAGCACAGGAAGGAAACTCATGCATAATCAGCTGCAGAGCTGTATAGGGCATGAGCCTGTCTCGTGGTGTGAGCAGTTTGTGCTAGTTGGGAAATAGACACACAGCTTTTTGATGTTTAGGTGAAAAGTTAACATGTATACTTGTTTTCTTATAAAGTTGTTCTAGATTTTAGTTGATGTGGTCTTAGTCTATTAATTGTTGACTTAGTCAAAATGATAAGTTGGAATAATACTTTGCTTCTCTCCAATGCCTTCAAGTTTATAAACTTCCTTCTTAGAAGGTTAAAGGAATAAACATTTGCCAAAAAAGAAAACTAACCTCTTCCTTTTGTTTTTGTTTTGCCCTACCCTGGCAGTGTTTTAGAGCACTTTGCTGCAAGGGACCGCCACCACCACGACCTGAGTATGACTTGGTTTGCATAGGCCTCTCTGGTTCTGGCAAGACAAGTCTTCTGTCTCAGCTCTGCAGTGAAAGCTCGGAGAATATCGTGTCTACCACAGGTAGGTGCTGTTTTTATTCCATGGTGTGCTGGAATATTGCCCAAAGATGACTACTGAAACACATAGCAAAGGCTGTAGAGAACTTCAGCCTACTTATATTGCTGTTGAAAGTACTTAATGGATCACTTTGCAGCTACCAATACTTTCTTTCAGTATTTGTTCCTATATTGGGGAATACCCATGAGAACATAGAATTTGGAATATGTTAAAAGTAAAAAATGTGTGGTCTAATGAAGCAGAACCATAACATACTGTACTGTAGACACACATTAAAATGTTTCTTTCTTCTCATTTTACTTTGATTTTTAAACAGTCTCACTATATATTGGAGAGAAGGGAAGAGAATGTGCTGTAAAATAGAATAAGACAGTGATGCTGTGAGACTTTAATTGGGATTTATTTCTGTATGTACTTGGTCCATGCTGCCTTGTGGTATATGGTAGTGACCGAAAAGAAAGAAGTAATGGAAATATGATTTTTTTTGTGATAATCCCAGCTTTTTAGATGAGTAACAGGCTTGTTTATGTAGTAAGGGCAGATTGTGATCAAAAGAATCAATTTACAGAAAATTGCAGTGGAGATACATAAAAACAGACAGCACAACCACAGATAAGAAGTATCTTAAGTCCAAAAAATTTGAATAGGCATCTTGATAATGGTGAACCGGAATGTCTAATACTGAAAAGCATGTTTTGATTGAAAAACCCCCAAAACAAAACAACAGCCAACAAAAAACAAACCAAGAACAAAACAGCTCCAGAAAAAACAGAAACAGACATGTGAATTCAGTAAGAAGAGGGAATACCTAGCTGAAAAGTTCAGAAAGAGGGCAGATTAGGTCATGGAGGTTGAAGAAATCAGGTTCAGTGGCTGCAGCAATTATTAAGGTTGGTTTGCTGATGGAACTGATACTAAGTGTTGTGCAAGTACCTTGTGTTTACAGTAACACAGCTTTGTCCTATAGCTGTGGTTCATGGGCTTGAATTTCAGGATTGTGCCTTAGCAACCCTAACTGTTTTTCAGTGTATGTTTTCTTAATCTACAAGAACATAAGATTATTTAATACAAATGTAAGTAAAATGTAAAACAGGTACAAGAAAATAGTGTTTTTATTAACCTGTGAATAATTAACCTGTGGCCTCTGTAGTGGTATTACTGGCAAGGTTAGAGAGATCTGACAGTCAGCTGTGAGAAGGTGACTAACTCAAAAAGTTAGAAGGAAATTGTAGAGTAATGAGCCTTTTTAAAAAATTTTTTTGTCCCTCTCTTGTGCTTTATCTTGGGATTAAAACAGATTATACTTAAGCAGTTTAGACCCTGAAATAAATAGTAACAGCAATATAAATAGAAGTATAGAGCTGTCAGAGAAAGTAATGAAAATACCGCTAATTAAAAATTAAATTGATTTTGTTTTTCTAGAGAGGTGCAATAAAATACCATTATATGATGAGGTAACTTAGGAATGAAAACCAGCTCTGGAGAATACTAGGCAGGCAAACCAAAATGATGCACATCTAGGGTATTCAGTTTATAATAAATCTTCTTAAATGTGGCGTATCAGACAATATTGTGGACTATCCAAGAATACAATGTGGCAACTTCTCCACTCAGTTTTCAAGCTATAATGTATGCTTTTGCTTTTTTAGTCAATGCCAATCAGGCCCATTCCATTTTTTCCCTTTTTTCTAGGAAGAGTTTAGGATTTCTCTAAAGATAACAATCCCCAAAATATTTCATAGTTATTCCCTTCAGATTTTCTTGTACTTGCCTCTATTGCATCTAGCACTGATCATAGTACGAGTACTGTAACATCTTATTGGTCTAACCAGGGCGAAAAAATATCTTGTTTCTCTTAAATGGTAGCAAATAAACATGAAATGAAACATATTTTCTCAAAACCTCTTACTCAGTTCACAGGTGTGTAATCATGTTGAAACTGCTTGTGCTAGATGGAAATAAATGGAATGTCTTTCTGGATATTTTTTGCTGAAAGAGCACACATAATTTTTCCTTTATAAAGTATTATGTACGCTTATATATATGTGTGCACTGAACATGCAAAATTTAGTGTATAATACATTGGTATGGCTGGGAGTCTTTCACATGCCCTTTCTCCTGTCTGTCTGAATTTTCGTTAAGGGTAAAAGTCACCCTTTGTTGGTGTTTTTTTGTTTGGTTGGATTTTTAATTTTTATTTCAATTTTAAGCAAAAAACAGGCTAATAGAGGACTCATAAATATTTCCAATGTGCTTATGACCATTTTAATACATCCAGCTAAGGTCTGTAGAAGCATCCTTCAGTTAATAACATTTATAGAAAGAATTAATAATACAGTTGCAACCAACACCTATGAAGTTTAAATGGAAGAATACAGTGATTTGAATTGCACATTGTTTTCAAGGTCTCATAAAATTTGCAGAATGATCACCTCTTATTAGTGGTAGTCTGGATTGTCCACTTTAGTTCTAGGTGCAGTAAAGATGATTTTATAGAAGTCTATTCTAGTAGAAGGTCTGGATGGAAGTCTTGTGCTAGATTTTGTGTGCCAGTTACTTATAATTGAAAATTGCATTGCTTATCCTGATTTATTCTTGTTCCACTCTATGGCACTCCTCCACCTCTTACCCCTTCCCACCCCCTTATAACTGACTTTTTAAACTCATTGAAATAGAATTTCTCAAGCAAAATCCAGGTTCTTGATGGAAAAAGTTGTTTTTCTGAATATATGCAATTGATTCCAAATGGCCCCTTTAACAAATAGCTTACTAATGTTCTGTATTTCTCTTCTTAGGTTTTAGTATAAAAGCAGTGCCATTCCAGAATGCAATTTTGAACGTAAAAGAACTTGGAGGTATGGCATTTATTCCTCTGTTTATAAAACATGCATGTCTAAATCTCATCATAACTGTCAGTTGTTTTAAATTGTTAGTTATTTTAAATTTTAAAATGGTAGATCAGTACAGCTGGAGTTAAAAATGTCAGCAGATAAAGTTGAGAAAAGCTGTACAAAACCTGCTCTCAAAGAGCAAAGAGTAAAAAGCAGGAGGAGTGGAAGGTGTATGGTGTATCTCTTTAATGTAATTTCTTGGATTGAAGTGGTTAAGTTACACAGAAATACAAACTGGACTGTAATTTTAGTATGGCTCATGTGGCAGCTCAAGGAAATGTATGTTCCTTGTGTTTATTGTATGTATAAACTTTCACTTATGTGAACTGGCTCAGGTAACTATGTGAATATTTGTCAAATCAAGATATTTACTGCACCACTGAAAGTGTTGCAAAGGCAGCCAACTTATAATGAGTTATATTCTTTGAGAACTATTCTCTTGTTGGATTTATTGGATTTTGGAGCAATGGTTTTATGGTTGTAGGATTTTTTTAAACTTTTCTATATACAGGCAACCTATTTGGCTCCCAATTCTGACTCTCAGTCTCGACTGAGGTTGTTTTTTAGAAGCAAGGAAACACTCTCCTGATGAGGGTTCTCATGGAGTCTAATATTCTTCTAATTTAAAACCCACTGTATCTTCTTCATATTCTAGAATTTCTGTATATTTTCTTTATTATTTGTTTAAATAAAGTAGACTTAATATTGAGGATATTTATTAGATTTTTCAGTGAGCTTGTAACCTCTGTTAAATGATCTGGGGTATAATTTGACTTGGTTCTTAAGGAAAGTTTCAGGAGATCTAGTTGCATAGTAGTTGACTTAACTAAACTTGTTCCAAGAAGGCTTTGAGATAAACACATGTGGAAAGCAGATCATTTCCTCTTTACTACCACTGGTCCATGGATTTAAGCATACATGCTCCTGTTTGAGCATGTATTCTGTAAAAAAACCCACCAGTAAGTTTTCTTTCATAAAGGGACCACTCCTCAGGGATTGTATAGATACTGCTTGAGTGTGTTATGTGCATTATGTGCACTTAGTCATAATGCCACTTTTTGGATTTTTCTTTAAAATAGGGTGAATCATTTGCAGTCTACTTTATACGTTCCGCTACCTAAGCTATATGAAATATATAATTCATGTAGGTAAATACAATTTTTAAATCAAGAATTGAATCTATGTATTCCATAGCAGATCCTTGTTAAAGTCTCTTAACCTTTTCTGATCATGGGTGGTATGTGTGTTTTGAGAAATCTTATCTTAGGGGAGAGTTTTGGCTCATGATGAGGAATAATCCAGAATACTTGGTTTGTTGTTTTCATCCATTTATCTCTTCTCAAAGACAGAAGGACTGTCAGAATTTTTTACTACGCCTTTTACTTCCTTTTTCCTTTGACCTATGGGTGTTTGCATGTCTGTTTTTAAAAATTATGTAATCTTATATGAAATATTGCAGAAAAATGCTGGTTTTGTTACCTTTTCATTGTCTGGTAAGAGAGCAAAAGCAAGCTTCCAGAAGTTTGTTTTTTTTCCAAAAGTTGGTGGTCACTAGTGGGGTTCCCCAGGACTCATTATAGTCCCAGTTTTGTCTAATATCTTTATTGATGGTCTGGACAAGGGGATCAAGTGCATTCTTGGTTTGCAGATGACGGCCAGGTGGGTAGGAGTGTTGATCTGCTGGAGGGCAGGAAGGCTCTGCAGAGGGATCTGCACAGGCTTCATCGATGGACTGAGGCCAGTGGGGTGAGGTTCAACAAGGCCAAGTGCCAGGTCCTGTCCTTGGGTCACAACAGCCACAGGCAGTGCCACAGGCTGGGACAGAGTGGCTGGAAAGGAGCTGGGGGTGCTGGTGACAGCAGCTGAACATGAGCCAGGCTGTGCCCAGGTGGCCAAGAAGGCCAATGGCATCCTGGCCTGGATCAGCAATGGTGTGGCCAGCAGGGCCAGGGCAGGGATTGTCCCCTGTGCTGGGCACTGGTGAGGCCACAGCTCCAGTGCTGTGTCCAGGGCTGGGCCCTCACTGCAGGAAAGACACTGAGGAGCTGGAGAGAGTGCAGAGAAGGGCAGTGGGGCTGGGGCAGGGTCTGGAGCACAAGTCCTGTGAGGAGCTGCTGAGGAAACTCCTCAGCTGAGGGAGTATTTATTCTGGAGAAAAGGAAGGTCAGAGGTGCCTTTATCACTCTCTACAACTGCCTGAAAGGAGATTGTGGCCAGGTAGGGAATGCTCTCTTCTTCCAGTGACAGGATGAGAGGACATGGTCTCACGCTGCACCAGCGGAGGTTCAGACTTCTGAAGAATCAGGAACATCAGGAAGAATTTCTTCATGAAAACAGTTGTTAAACATTGGAATGACTGCCGAGGGAGTCACCATCCCTGGAGGTGTTCAAGAAACAACTGGACATGGCTCTTAGTGCCGTGGACTAGTTTACAAGTTGCTGATAGGTCAAAGGTTGTACTCAATGATCTTAGAGGTCTTTTCCAACCTAAATCATTCTGTGATTCTCTAGTCAGCATTTAACCTTTTAGCTGAGAAATGTGTTCCTGTTTGATGAGGGTAAAACCTGAGCTTTCTGGAGTAGGGACAGCTTCTCTCTTGCTCCTATATGAAAATAAAACATTTTTCATTTGTCACTCTGAGACATTACTGTTACATTTTGTTTTGGAATTTCTGCTTCTGATGTTGAAGAGAAACTCATGTTTTGCCTGATTGCTGGGGATTTTTTTGTTTTATTCCTGGTTTTTGCCTTCAGTCATTATGCTATTGTTATATAATTTCTCTTTTCTATAGTGTTGAAGTCTTCTCCAGACCTTTGATCTTGGGAACTTGAAGGAAGGCATCTTTCCTTGACAACCACTGCCTGTTGTTACATGTTATTTACAGAGTGACATTCTATAGCGTTTTAATTTTTTGTTGTTTTGACTTTTTAGGTTTAGGTAACATCTTCATATGTCATCATACAGTAACATATTAACAGCCAGTATTTAAAACACAGCAGAAGTTATACTGCTTAAGGTTCTTATATTCAGCAGCCAAACATTTATGTGAAACAGATGCTGACTGTGTAGTATCCTTTCTGTTTTGTTGAAGCAGTATTCTTCCTTGAGGTCAAGGAAGTTTTTACTGTGCTAGTTGTTTCCAAAGCTGATAATGAAGCCAGTTTTTATTTCTTCGTTTCTACAGGGATTGTAAATTTTCAGGCAAAATATACAGAACATAATCTCCCTTCTTTAATCTATTAAAGGACTGATTATCTCTTCATTCTCCTTTAAGATTTAGGGACAGGGAACAATGTTTGTTGTGCTCTCTTTGCAGAAGTTTTTCTTTGAAGCACATGATTCTAGAATATTAAAAATTCAACAGAATTTCTGGTTTTTTATTGGTTTTGTTTCCTAAGACAGGAACTTGCAGTCCTAACAGAAAATAAAGGGTTTATCCAGTTTGATAAATGGTAAATGTTTTGTTTAAAAACCTAGAATTTGATCCTGAAAAAGTAAAAATGTATAGAGAGCTTTCATATATAACATTAGGGTTTCTTAAATTACTTGAAAAGAAAGTCTTGCTTTATTTGCTGACCAAGTTGAACTGCCTGTTCTCTAAGTTGCTGTTTTGCTATACCAATAATCCCTTCCTTGTCCCCAAGAAGCTAAAAAAAATTAACATTTTTTCCCCCAAAAAATTTGGTCTAAAAGATAATATGTATAATTTAAATTATTGTGGAGATATGCCATGCCCTAGTCCACATTCTTTCAGAATGTACTATTACCAGGACAATTGGAAATATCTGTCTTTATTATGCAACTCAGCTGAGTAATGGTATGGAAAGAAACTACAGTTGTGATGCTTTCCTCTGACAGTGCAGTAATTTGTTGTGGGACCTAAGGGTGACATTGTGTGTGATGAACATAGAGAGGAGTGGGAGAAGACTAAAAATAAGGCAGATGACAACATTTGTTGTTCAGAAGATTCTAAGAGTGTTTTGCTGAAAAAGGTTTGGAATGGTGATTACTGAGGTTGGTTCTCAAGACAGATAATGGAGGTGTAAATGCAATAGGAAGCTTTTTCTTTGGTTCTAACAGATTCCAACCTGGAGACACAGTGCCTAAAAGCACCTTTTTATTCCTGTTTTTTAAAGTCATTTGCACTTGTAATGCTTTCAAAACAGAATATAAAGCTGTGGTTTAGATATTTATTCAGGTCTGTATCAAGATTTAAGGTCCATCCTGGTAGTCAACTAAGAATTTCCAGTTGTGTCTTTAGAATAAGTTGTTTAATAATTTATTTTGGTATCTTGTAAATGGAGGCTTAGAAACTACGAGTGAGATGCCAAATAATGAGCCACGTCATATTTAAAAGAATGATTCTGGATGTGAGAAGTTCTTCTTCATACAAAGTTTAAAAATACTAACAACATGCTATAGGATCTAATAATGATCCCTCATTTATTTAAATATATTGTCTTGTGTTTGTGTTAGGTTTTGTGATACGCCCTAAAGCCAGTTTCTCAAACATAGAGAGTACATGTTATGTAGTCATATTGGAAAATTAATTTAAGACAAAAATCTGTTAAGTCCTTAGCAAGAGTGGAGTGGTTAATATCAGGAATGTTCTTGTCTCCAGTTGGTTGAGCATGCCCAAGAAAAGACATGAGAACTTGCCTCCCCACTGCTATTACTTCTTAAGCTTGATTACCAAAGTCATAAATTCACATTCTTAGGCCAGCTAAATTAATTGTCTAGGTGACAGCTTGAGAACAAATAGCTTTAAATAGGTTTGGTTAAACAAACCATGTGTATTTTGCCTTAATTTGGAAGTAAAGAGCAGCAGAAAAGAGAATAGGAGGAGAAGCCACACTGTTGTGCAGTCCAAATTGAATGGAAAATATGAAATTCTGGAAAAGACAGCAGCAGTTGTCAGGTAGTATCTGCCTTGTGAAAAAAATGATGGACTTTGGAGAAAATA